GGAAGGGAAAGTGAGGAGTTAAGTGGCCTCTCTCCTTTCTAACATCTGTATAGTATGTTAGTATGTCAAGCATGTTCTAATTATTATCCCCACTTTACAGATGACACTGGGACACAACGAGGTGAAGTAACTTGCCCCAGGTTGCACAGGTAGCAAGTTATAGAGCCTGAGCTCCACATCAAGCAATCTGGCTCAGAGTTCTTCCTCTTCCCTCTTGTGCATCCTGTCTCTCAGCTACAGCTGCCCTGGTCCTAGTGAGAGATGATGGAGGCTGGGACCAAGAGGGACTGCAGAGAAGTAGACAGGTGGGAGAGAAATCTATGAGGTCAAATGTCGGGAGAGCGAATGGATATGAGGGGAAGGGCCGAGGACTATCCGTGGTTTCTGATTGGAAACTTCTCTATTCATTGAAGTAGACAACGGCAGGGGAGAGAGGTTTTGTCAGAAGGGAAGTGGAGAGGGAAGATGAGTTCTAGTAAACGCACTGATTGCAGTCAAATGTTCCCTACATCCAAAGAGGCCATCAGAATCCTCACTCTGCCACTTAAAAGCAGTCTGACCTTGTGCAGGTTAATTAACTTCTTTGAGCCTCACTTTCATTCCTTGTAAATGGGGATAATAATACAGTCTAACTCATAGGCTGGTTTCGAGAATTAGATACAGTAAAAGTTGTGAAGTGCTTTGCACTGCATCTGATACATAGTAATGTTCAGTAAATACTATTAAATGTAAGAGTTGGTTTACTTGCCACTCCTCCGCTTTCCTTTGATGAGGACTGTGCCTTCTCCCTCTCTTTTATCTGTGCAGGTTGCCACTCCCTGCCTTTTCTGCCTGGTGACCGCCCATTTATTCTTCAGGACTCACATCAAATATTCTCTGCTCTTAACCAGTTGATCTTTCAGTAGGTTAACCTATTAACCATATTATCTTATGTATATTTCTGCTCTAGCCCTTAATACTTCATTTATTTATATGGCATATTCCAGAAAATATTTAAAGCAGCTCATTATAATGAGAAAACAAAATAAATGGATGAGGAAACAAGGCCAAAAGAAGATCAAGACTAGTAAAAATAAGAGGAAGTTAGAAGTGGGGTGATCCTTGTAATCTGGGGGTCAAATCTGTATGTTAATTAAAGGTGCAAGTGACTTGTTTCCCTAGCTGTCCATACCAAGAGGCAGGATCTAGGCCATCCTGTGATCTAGTGTTCATGAGAACAGGAAGGCAACATTAGATACCCAGGACAAGCAGTGGGTTTTTTTGTTGTTGTTGTTGTTTTAATTTTTTTTTTTTAATTTAAACACTAAAAAATAAGCTTCTCTTTAGGGTCCTCATAAAGAAAAGCCAGTGTCATATCCTTAACCTCTTTTCAGCACTGAGGGTCATAAAACTGTTTCTTAGCACATGCCTTACTAGGTCAAAGAAGGCTAAATCACAACTTAGAAAGGCATTCCAAAGCAGATAGACCATGTGGTTTAGGTGAAGAGCTCTGCTGGTCTGCCTTACTTCAGAGCAAGGTGTTTTGGCTTTTTTTAAGAATTATCTAGACCATAGAGGAAAGAACAAGCCACAACTTCTTTAGGTAATCTCGGTAAACTTGATTTTCCTCAGCTGAGCTTTTGGTAAGACTCAAGCAGGAGTGAGTGATACATAATGTAAATATCTATTGCATGCCTCCCAAGCACAGTGCTGGTTGTAACAGGAGACTGTATAGTGGAAGGCCCGGCTCTTACTTGGGGGAGGGAAGCAACAGCATGCAATCAAGTAAGTAAGATAATTTCTGAGAAAGAGCATAATTTGGTTCTGAGAATGAACTAGATGGGATAAGAAAGAGAGTAATGAGGGAGGGCTGTGGAGAGTTAGGTTAAAATCAGGCGCTCAGGTGTGACCTCTGATAAGTGATGTTTACGCTAAGACCTGAAGGGGTCCACTGCGTGAAGAGCCAAGGAAAGTATTCCAGATACAGGCAACAACTAGTGCAAAGGCCTTAGGTGCAGACAAGCTCTGCGCCCTTTAAGGAAGATAGGGAAGGCCACTGGGGCTGGATCCAAGTGGACCAGGATGGGTGGGATACAAAAGGAGGTCAGAGAAATAAACAGAGCCTTGCGGGCCATGGAAAGGAGATCAGGTTGTCTTCTGTGGGCACTCGGAAGTGATCGGAGGGTTTCAAGCAGAAGAGTTAGTGATACGATACATCTTTTGCATCATTCTGGGTTGCTGTATAGAGAATGGATTCTAGGAAGGCAAGAATGGAAACAGGGAGGCCAACGAGAAGTACTCCAAGGTGGGCTTGGATTAGGATGATGACATGACAGTGGAGAGGACTGAGGAGTGGGTGGCCTCCATATTTCTATCATCCTCCTGAAAAGGTCTTGAAGAAGTTCCAGTCTGTCTCTGGAGACTAGAGGAGGGCTGATGTCCTCTTCCAAGTTTGAGTGCCTGGCAAGGTGCTGTGCCTTCGTGTAGTCCTTACATCTGGGTTTGCACATCCAGTTGGACTGGGAGCCCTTGGAGGAGAAACTCTTTATTTCCTGTACAAGGACACATTGGTTAATTGGAGGAACTGCCCTCCTCAAAGGGAAGGAGAGAGACGCTATCTTGTTACCTGTAGATACTGAACTATAAATATTATCACCAATACCGTTGCCTTTAGATGGACAAGTGGAAGTCCTGGGAAGTTAGTGGCTTACTGTCATATAGCTAGTTATTGGCAAAGCCATTCTCTCTTCTCTGTTGCCACCCCAGCATTCTGGCTAACTGGAAAACAGTTTAGATGTTGTTTCTGTTAATTTAAACTATGTTCACAGTTTGTATTTTGTATGTGTTAATTTAAAGGGTGTTAAACAGTGTTAGTGCTCTGATAGAAAGTGTTTCAGAAGCACTTTTTTCAGTACAGAGAACATTAGGTATATATCTTGATATGCCAGAGCCACAGATGGGAGATGAGAAGGGGGGTGGGAGCGGGATGTGGCTGTACACTCCATTTCATAGAGCTTGTTGGTTTTGACAGTGTTTTTTGTTGTTGTTGTTGTTTATTAAATTAGAAAGCGTCATGCATGGATAATATGCTTGTTAAAACTTGAAATAATGGTTTTTAACATGCCCATGAACAATATGACAGAATAATGGAATGGCACTATGGCTTTTCTAATAATGTAATTATGTATGTATTCCTCTGACTACTCATCTGTAAAAGGAAGACAATAATACATACTTTATAGGGTGTTTTCAAGGATGAAGCGTGATTAATATATGTAAAGCACTTCGAAGTTGAGTGACCATTTGATTGATTGTCCAAACGAGGACACTTTTCAGAGTGAAAGGAAACAAACAAGAGTTATGGACATCAAATAAAGGAGTGTACAAACGCTAAGTGTCTGCTGCTGCCGCTATTCCAATCTCAATTGCTGATCCAAAGTTAATTAGACATTTGTGGCCAAGGAGTTTGCTTGGCTTTTTTTTTTCCACTAGTGCCAATGGATTTGCCCACTTTTTGCCCTCATCTGTGGTCCCAGCACAGGGGTTTCTGAAGCAGTTCAAATATAAAATAATACTTCTTTAGCCAAGATAAAAGGTATCTCAAAGCAAGATTGGAGTTTCAACCTGGACTTTATTAGGGCCATACTCTATAAACATTTAAATAAATCTAGAGAAAAACAAAGGCCTTCAACATTCATTTTTTTGCTTTTCTTTGTTTAATGTTTAATTTAATTTTGGTTTATGTAATTTACTTTGGTATCAGCAATTTATTTAGACTGGGCCTAAGTGTCTCCCGAGAGATCCATATTTACATGGAAGAATCAAACCATCTTATTTACTCTTTCCACCTGACTTCTTTGTGTCTTAATATTGTTGGCCTTAAAAGTCGTTTTAATGATTTTAAGCTCCTTGAAAGGAGAGGCTAGGTGTTATTTTACCAGGAGGAATCCAACACAGTGGGATATATGTAATTCAGCTTAATAACCCATAAGCGATGGTGATCCAGTGATGACTCTTAAGAGGAGTCTACACACACGTTGTTTTTACATGGCCTTAGTCTCTCCTCTAGTTAATAGGTCAAGTCAAGCCAGTTTTCTTTTTTCTTGTTAACACATCATAGATTTATTAAAGAACACTGATGAGAATTTTTAATTCAGAAAAAGTGAAGAAAAATACCTCAAAATGACCAATAAGCTCTCTATCCAGATAACGACTGTTGATACTGTGAGGAAGACAAATAATACACGTTAGGAAATTCAAGAAGAAATGCACCAAGCGACAAGTGAAAACCTTCCCCTCTTCACCTTCCACTGCTAATCCCACTTCCCAGAGGTAATTAGTGTAAGGTGTTTTTTTGTGTACCCTTCCAGAATGGTTTTTAAATGCCATAAAAGGCAAAAAACACCTCGGGCGTCAAACTCCTGAGTTCGAGTCCCAGCTTTACTCCTTCAAGTAACTTTCAGTGCCTTCATTGGTAAATAGGGGTAATATCCACTTTATAGGGCTCTTGTGAGGATAACTTAGCATATTGTAAGCATTATGTATATGTTAGTTGGTGTGCGGGTATGCACGTATAAAGTTTTACACAAATGTTTACGTGCTCTTTTGAACTATACTTCCATAATTAATGATACATCTTTGAGTTCTTTTGGAGCTTTTCCTACCTTATTTTGTGATATTCTGTTATATATTTTTTTAATTAATCCCCTTGTAAACATTTCTTTTTATTTTGTTTTTTACTCTTACAAATAGTATGACTGGAGATATATGCATAGTTGTCTTTGTACACTTGTGGGAATCATTTCTAGAAGACAGGTCAAGGGTATATGTATTCTTAATTAAAATACATATTGCCTCATTGGTTTCCTAGTAGCTAGCTGTTTTTTCCTGTGTAATCTTATCTCGTTATCCCTTCCTGTGGTTTTCAGTTTGGATCCAGAGTGTTTAGGAACACCAAGAAAAAGCCAGTGGTGTGTCTGTGTGCCTGCAGAATTTCTTGCTAAACTGCCTTCAGAAAGGAAATGCTTATCCTCACTGTTAGATCACAGAATTGCTATTTCTTGAAAGCAGGTGAGATCGGGAGCTGTGCGGTCTAGCAGATCGGCGGGCACGCTTGACGGTAGCTTAGCCCTAGGAGGAAGTTACATAACAGGCTCTTATCACTGGTTGTCAAGCCTTGACATGTCCCTAAAGTAAGTGTTTTGGAACTTGGCCCACCATTATCTTCCAAATTGTTCTTCTCTTTCCTTTTTTCAGTATTTGCTCCAAGAGTGTATGAAAACTTGTTTTGTAATCAAGGTTTTAATAGCCACTTTGAGGGAATAACCATTAGGGGTTTTGAAAGCCGTGTTAGTCTGGGTTTAGGAGAGATTGTCGTTTCCACACTAAAATGAGAAAATTCCTTAGATGGCTGTGTCATCCAACCAGAGGCTTGGAAATGGAGAGTTGGTTTAGTGACTGTAAAGCAGTCATTTCTTCCAGCCTGTTTATGGAAAATTGGGCATTAAAATCTAACCCTTTAAAAGGACTTCCTGACGTATTTCTTCTAAGTAGAAAGTGGCATATAAGATAGGAAAGGGTCTAAAATACATCCCAGTTTTTTGAGTAAATATTTGCTTGTCGCCATGCACGTGTCATAACTGATTTGAAAATGATTTTTGAATGGCAGACATTTTATAGATATAATTATGGCACACATATAACTGAATCCAGTAGGAAATCTTCCTACGAGCCTAAAATTAGGTGGAAAACCACCACTCTCAGAGCAGATGTTAGGTATTTTGGTTTCAAGGCTTTTCCCAGATGGTTTTGATCCTCGTGGTCAGTTAAGAAAGTAATTGGGACAACTGAGGAATGATGTTGATAACATCACTGAAAGAGTTTCTAAGCCATCTTCACCATTTTTACAGGTGGAACAAGGCCCGCCAGGATTAATATTAGCATCCAGGTTGCTTACAGAGAGTTTCAGCCTAATAACAATTTATGAAGTCAGTGTATATAGTAAACAGAACATGTTTAGGTGTGTTCGATCTAGAGCTAATTGAGGAGGTACCATTAAAAATAACAATGCTGGTATCATACACGCTGGGAACTGTCAGCAGCTGGCCATCTTTAAATTTAAAAAGAACAGAGGCTGTTTTCAAACTGGCAACTTACCCTTTGGTTTTATTTTGTTGCTTTTGGAGCTGTGCTCTGTACTTTATGTATGTTATTCCAGTCATCCTCATCCCCAGAGAATGTCCTAGGCAGCAACTGCCTATGCAGTTTAAGCTAGAAATATCATGACTTTACAGTACAAAGCTTGAGACAAGCAAATTTGTGAGAAATCACAACTGGACAAAACTTTGTATGCATAATATATATCTACATGGGTATATAGATGTATCTATAGATATATCTCCAACATGTACTCACTTCTTAACATTAAGTTGTGAATTAAATTTAACATGAAGATAAGAATAACTTTTTTTCCTTTTTTTCTTTCCTACAATGAACAGGCATCATGCTCCTCTACACTTTTATTTCCATAAAGTTTCACAGCAGTCCTATGAAGTGGATAGTTTTATTCCCATTTTTACAGGTGAAGTTAAAAGTTGGTCACAAACACAAAGTAAACATTGTGGACTAACCAGAACGTTGGACCCAGGTTTTGACTTCTGGCCCAGGGTCTGGCTGTGAAGAAATGCTCTGTAGACAAAAGAGGGATAGGACTGAAGTAGGAGAAAGACCCGTGAATGCCTGGACAGCGAATCCCCCCTCACCAGAACTCATCAGACTGCACTCCTCCTTGTGCTGTGCCGGCCAGTGTTGGCCCTGGCCCCTGCCTTTCGTAATTTGCCTTCCGGGACCTGCGATTCTAATCTCTGCTTTAATTCATGGCATTTTAGCTCCTACTGCGTATGCTTTGGTAGCCTCCTAGGTGCTTCACAGCTGCGTTCCATTTTGTACACGCTGCCCTCAACTTGATCCTCCTAGAAAGTCCAGCCATGAATCTTCAGCAACTCCAACTTGTTGCCTACCAGGAAGGTCCAAGTCTACCAGGATGGCATTTACTAGTGTGGACTCCCGTAATCTGACCTCTGCCTTTATGAACTTGGGCCTCGATGATGATACCTGTCTTCACACACATCCAGCCTCCCTATTGTCCTAGAGTACTCACAGCCAGATCCAGCCTTGCATTCCACACCTCTGCCTTAGCTCACGGCTTTCTCCCTGCCTGCTGGGGGTGGGGATGGGGAGTAGGGAAACAACTTTAGCTTGCTTTCTTTGTTTCTAACACTTCTCTTGAGGTATAATTGATACACAAAGAACTACACATATTGTGTACAATTTGATGCATTTGGGCATATACTAACACCTATGATACCATCACAATTATAGCTTGCTTTTTCAAACAACAGCTAACATTTTGAGTACCTATATGGTTCAAAAATCAAATAATATAAAAAATATTTCCCCATCTTTCAGCCTGTCCTGCAGCTCCCCAACTGATACTGCCCCAATTCCTTGGTAACCCCTTTTATTAGCTTCTTGTATAACATTCCAGGATATCTATGTGAATATAAACACATGAATATATATTCTTATTTCCCCCCATTTTTATATGAAAAGAAGCATGCCATAAATATGATTCTTCACCTTACTCTTTTAACAAGTTGTATTAAGTGGTCTCTCTCCCAGTACACAGATGTTTTCTCATTCTTTGTTTTTTATCGCTTCTTAGTATTCCATCATATTCTTATGTCGAAATTTATCTAACCCCCTGTTGATGAACATGTCATATTGCATATAGGCAAGTATATCTAGGATTTTGGGGTCAAAGAGTACATATTATTTGAAATTTCGATAGATACTGTTAAAATGCCTTTTGGCTTTCTTGACTGATGGTTTTCAAGTATCAAAAGAGCAGCTGAAAATCCTCT